TTGGTGAATCGTTACACCCCTAGATACAGTGTAACATATAATCAAAATGTCAAATTTGATCTGTGCAACACTCACAGCAGTTATAACATATAACACAACATACAATCACAATGTTTAACTTAACTTGTGGTGAAAACCAGAAAAGAGGTAGTCACTTAGAGATTACCATAATTTATGGGAAATGTTTTTTCTAAATAAAATATATTCACTTTGTGGAATTGATAAGGGATTACTAGATGTGGAGGACAAAGTCATAGTGCAAACAAGTGCTTGGAAGGAAAATAACTAGCTGCAGTGGTTTGTAGAAATTTAAATATGTAAATATGCGATTTATGCATCGGTGTGGCGGTAGTACTTACCAGTCATGGGGAAGATGCCCGGTGGTGGTGGCTGGCCAAAGGGTGGCATTGAAGGCATCCTAAGAGGAGGGGGTGGCTCAGTGATCGGGGGCATGGGGAGGCCAGCGGGGGGCATAACAGGTGGGGGCGGGAACGGAATCATGCCGGGTAAATTGACATCATCAACGATGAGAGGGTCGTTGCCGTGGTCGAATGGACAAAGGTCTCCACGGACACAAAATCCCTTTTCTGTGAGAGGGAGAGAAAAATAAAATCAAAAATCATAAGATCTTCAGTCTTCTCTGCACTTTTTCTTCAAATACTTTTGAATATGTATTTGTAATCTGCTATAACACATACTCAGATACTCTTCAATATGTATTTCACAACCATACTGTATGTTCTTCTACGCACAAAGATCTTTATTGGGTGTGAATGATAAAAGCATGTTTTTCTTTTTCAGCGCTTAACTACTTCCACATTACCATACTTTCTGAAATATTCCAGTTTTTTTCCAAAGATGTTTCCCCAAGTTCATTACTTATTGAGAATTTCCAGTTTTTCATAATTTAAACTCTTAACTACTCATCCATACTTTCAGCTAGAAACTCAAATATTTCAACTTTCTGACATTTTAGCTATCATTTCAGTTTCAAAGTCCCATTAAAATATTTGACTTAAAAAAAATAAATAAATAAGTCAATTAGACTTCATCTCATCTTTAACCTGTTCCCACAAAGTCATACATTCACTTAAAACATTCATGCTCATTGTTCATCTTTGTCTTTATGAGCTTCCAAGACAGGAGCACCGACCAACAGAGAAGAAATGTCAGGAGTGAAGCAGAAGCAGCCACCTCTTCCAACAGCTAGGGTGGTCACCTTTTTGACTACACACACAAATCTCACCAAATGTGGCAAGCAGACTCTCATCTTAGCGATAATATCCCAATTTTGATGACGGGAGTTACCGTCTGGGCTGCAGAAGCATAAACATGACAGGTGCGCCGCAGCTAAAATCTAAAATGAAGCCTCTCAGAGCAGGCACCATCACCATGGCAACCCCTAATTGCAGTTGGCAACACACCGCTGATTGAGATGACCTCATTAACCCAGTTTAACAGGCAGACAAGCAAAGACAGATTTTCAAGTATTCTTCACGTTTTCTAATATTCAAGATCTTGACCACATTATAACATTTAATCAACTTCAGTTCCTTTCAAAGCTATTTGATACTTTCTACTTATACAACTACTTTATTCAGTATTCAAACTCATTTCTACACTTTGTCTTCTTATATCTAATCATTCAGTTGGAAACAATATTAAACCTTATGAGATATATTTCATTTTTTTGTCCCATTCATAGTAATTACACTGTTTCACAGTTTTCCAACTCCAATACTCCTTCAGTTACTTCCAGCTAGTTAAAGCCAGTGATTCAGTATTGACAGCTCTTCAACACACCTTCAAATCTTCCACCTTTTTTAATTATTAATATAATTTAACTTTTAGAGCCAGCAATTCAGCCTGGCGTAAGCTGTTCAGCAGTCAGCATTAACACTCCTCTAGTTGATAATAATCTTTCTTTGGGTTTTTGGAAGTCAAATTCATTCACAAAAAAAATGGCAGAAAGGAAAATAAGAACAAATGAAACAGCAATGAGTGTAAATAAACCAGATGAAAGATTGTCCTAGTAGAAAGCAACAAAGACAGTGCATGTATTTACCCTACATCTCATTAAGGAAGTGGGTCTCCAGTGGCTGTTTGAGCACTGTGACAGATAGCAGTGTGCATCAGGGACATTGGGTAAGTTTAAACCCTCTTGTGTCGCTGGAGAGGACAGGGAGTGCTTAACAGTGGTCATTAGTGATGTGACTAAACAAGGCAATCAATAACCCTCCTGGGAAGATCATGGCAGTTTACACAATAGCTAGAGCAAACTTTACAATGACCACGTCTTACACTGGAGAAATAGGCTCAACGTCAAGAAGATGAAGGAAGGAATGTTTCACTGTAAAAAGAATCGACAGAAAGCAGGAAATCAAAGGAAAGGAGGAAGATTCACTGTTCCTACCATCGTAATCCCTGCAACGCTGTTTGAGTGAGGGGCCCTTGTTGCTGAATGGTTTGCCGACACCGTCCTGCCTCTGGGTGCCGTAGTAGCCTGACCAGCTGTCTGTAGTGCTATCGGGCAGGTGAGCCGGTGTTGCTATGGGGACACCTCCAGCTCCTGAGACTCCAGCAGATGATGAGGAAGAGGAAGAAAAGGGATGCGGAGGTGTAGGCAGGGGCAGGAGCGGCGGCGGGTGCTGCTGCTGGGGGCCGGATGTGGTGGAAGAGTTATAGCAGTCGGTGTCCTTCCTTTCCAACTCAAACTTTGACTTAAAGTCTGTAAAAGAAATAAAGGCACAATAACAAAACACGCATACATAGGGATTGCAGTAGAGTAGCAGACCGTGGCAGAAATTGAAACCCTGTGAGTTTTAAGCATTTTCAAAACAGCTACTTATCATGCCAAATGCTTAAAGATGATTAACCTTGGTAATAAGGCCAATTCCAGCCCATGTTGTTGAATCCCCACTGATAGGACTGCAAAGCTGTCCACATTGTTCCTTATCGATAACACCTACCAGCAACACTGACCAACAATCCAACAGAAAATAATACAAACGGCTACATCCAGAACTCCATTCAGTCTCTTCTCTGTCCAAATAACACTCAGGATGTCTCCAGCAGCACTTCTGCATCACTAATACACTCGACTGTGCTGACAGCAGCTCCAGGAACTTCTACTCTCGTGGGTCTGGTCCCCTGTGCTGTTGTTATTGGTTTTGGAAGGTGGGAAGGGGTGGAGAAACGTTCTCACCTCTGCCTCCTCTGTGCTCCCTGTCCCTGCTCTTTCCTCTGCTGCCACTCCTGCTCCGGCTGCGGCTTCTGCTCCGACTGTAGCTCCTCCCGCGGGGGCTGCCCCTGCGCCGCTCATGCCGCTCCCGCTCACGGTGGGAGTCGCTGCCGCTTTTTCCATGCCGATCGAAGTCGCGGCGCTTGCGCTCATCTCGCCTCCTGTCATCGCGGCTCCTGTGTGGTTGAGTTCTTTTTGAATTACTATCTTTATGCCAGTTTTAAATGCAAGAGGGTTATAGCTGGATTGAATCTTAAACCAGTTAAGGCACATGGGTCTTAATGACTATATCAAATAAGGATACATGGATCATACTTATCTATTAATATACCCCTGAAATCAGTTCTAGTGGCCTTCGTCTAGAGAACCATGCTTTAGGTTGAGACAAGCGGTTTTCAAGAAGAAGCATTTATTTCTTATTTCCTTGGTTTTATAAGTATATTTGATGATATCTAAACCCGGTGTTATTTTTGATCTGCTCCAAAGCACTGTGTTTATTTCTTGTTGCTGCTGCTTGTTGTTACGAAACCTCAATACTATATCTATTTTACATTAAAACTACCGTAATTTCCGGACTATAAGGCGCTACTTTTTTCACACGTTTTGAACCCTGCGGCTTAAACAATTATGCGGCTAATCTATAGATTTTTACAGGCTAACGGCCCCCAG